GGCTTTCCGTCGAATCTCGACAACGGTGGCTAAAATCTCTTCATCAGACATTTGCGGTGAATTCGGGAGCTCGTTTTCCAGATTAAGCCAGTCTTCCAGATCGTGAGCATTAGGCATTTCCTCATTTTCAAGTTGCTGTACATGTTCCAACATTTCGACCATGGACTCAGCAGTATTATCCTCTCTGAATTCGGGCTGTGAATTTGACTCGCTGTTGTCCGAATTTTGAAAAGGGCACAGAATAATACGCTGTTTCAACAATCTTTTGAAAGGATTATTGGGCTTTTTGCAACTTTGAGTTTTCACGATCACAACTAATTAATATTCATGAAAAAATTGGGAACAGAGAAAAAAGTCCGGATAATCGAGGTTCGACTGTATAGGCACGCTAAGCATGAATCAATTCTTTAATGATGTTAAAAACACAATAGTAAACCAAGACAATATCCGTTACATATTGCTAAATAGAAAAGTGTGTCAAAGTACTTACATGCGCTTAAGCCGATTACCCATGCCTTACCTGATTGGTCCTGCGTAAGCTCTGCCATATTTTTCTCACTTGAGGAGGCACCCTTTCCTGAGGAAACCTCCTTCAGTTCCGTTTTCCGGCGGTCATCCTTCTTGGTCTCCTCTTTGTCAAATTGTACTAAAAAGGGGTTAAAAAAATGTTGTATATTGTTCTTGCGACAAGACGGGCCGTATAATAATATGGGCAGTATAATAATACGGGTAGTATAATAATACAGGCAGTATAATAATGGGAAGAAACGCGTGAGGTGTAATGTATTATATTTCTAAGCGTTGTACCTGTTTAATGTGTGTTTAAGTTGTAATTTCTACGGTTTTCTGTTAACAGGGTCTTCGTTTTCGTACTACGAAAACGAAGACCGGGTCTTAGGTCTTAGGTCTTCGTTCTCGTAACACCACAACTCTTTCTATAAAATATTACTCATGCTGCGTTATTTTTTATTAAAATTTGCCTCTTTTCAACTAGCTCGCCTAAACGTTAGACCTATTGCGATATTGCGAGTCTTTTTACTGGCCAACATTTTGATTTAAGGCCACCAAAGGGCAACTTTGAAAAAAGCTTGAGCATGAAGCCCTGTACCCAGCATGTAAGCAAACTCACACTAAATACACCACACAAAGAGGAAAACAATGAGTCAGAGTAAAATCAAGAGAAGAAAAGGTCTTAAAGCCCCCATCTTAATTTCTTTCCTTGTAACAACTGAAGGATTGAGAAACCACTAATTAATTTAACCACAGAACAAGAAACACAAAGCTATGCTAAGGGAATGATATGTGGTGGGAACTCTGCTGCTTTCAGTGATGGTGGGGGGCAGGGGGTATTCTAACATCTTGTCCCTGCTGTGGCACAAGCAAATATCACAGGTTTTACAGGAGGTTTGACAAGGAAGAGTTTCTCTTTCTGTATCAAAGTAGCATTACAGCTTTGAAGAACTTTTTTAGTTGTGACATTAAAAAGAGTTAGGGACAACAAAAGCCATGACAAACTTTATGATCTTAAGTGTAAAGATAATACCACCTGAAATACTGTGCATGTACAGTGACTTGTGGTAATTGCACAGCAAGGTAAAAACATTTTTCTATTTTCTTTCTGCAGTATTGCTAAAATGCAGAAAAGCTTTGCATATTACTCGTGATAGTATTTTTTTCCATTTTTATTTTCAGGATTAAAACTTCCACAGTCATCCACACATCTGAAACATTACATGCCCTCCTCACCCCCAAGATAAATAAACTGGCAAGGTTAATTTGCAAGCTAGTTTGCAGAGAAATACCCCTACTGAAAACTTAAGTTACTGGTTAATCAAGACAAGTATACATGTATAACACTTGCGCATACCATGTCTGCCCAACTTAAGTATTTCCTCCACAAGCTTTTCACATTGCGCATCCCAGGGATATTTCTTTTCATAGTCTTCACAAAGACACCTTGCTTCTTCAAGTCTAATAATAATAATAATAATAATAATAATAATAACAATAATAATAATAATAATAATAATAATAATAATAATAATAATAATAATAATAATATATTAATTTATAGTGTGCTTTTTAACATATAATGATCAAAAGCGCATTACACTTGTCAAAAACCTTGGAATTAAAACGTACATTGTATATACATATGTATCTAAGAAGAAAAGAAAAATATAAAAGAAACTTAGTAATATCTTTGCAAAGAAAAAGAGCTGCATTTTCATTCATTATCTCATTTCAAATTAAAATATTACCTTCCTTTTCCCATCTGGTTCTAGCTTTCCCAGTAGCATCTCAAACTGTTAAAAAAAGATGTAAGGGATATAACTCAATCAATTTACAGTTTGACTGATATTTCAATCAATCAATTAGAGACAGTCAGTCAGTCTTCCAGTGGGAATTTTGGTCATTTGGCCAACTCATTCAGCCTACTCATTTTAGTAATTTAAGGCACTAGTTCTTAGTTTCAGATTCAAAATTAATAGTCTTTTCCCTAACTGTCATTTGTCATACTTGTGAAAAGATGATCAAGAAAAAAGATAATACATTTACGTTCAAAATCTATTACAAACTTGTCCCCAGACTAAGAGTAAGGCAGTCAGTCAATCAGTCAGCCAGTCTGTCTGTCTGTCCGTTGATCTGTCATTCCGTCATTCCAACAGTCGGTGAGTTATTTAGTACAATTTAACCCTTTCACTTGCAGAAGTGATCAATATGTAACTTTTCCCTATAATATCGACACATTATCCAGCAAACAGGTAATGGGAATACTCAAACTTATCAGGCAGAAGTTGTTATCTTGATCTAGCCAGGGCTCGATGCTAACTTTTCAACTTACTAGCCAAGTGGCTAGTGACATCTTAGATGTTTTTAGATGTTACGACAATTTCAGTCTGTTTACTAGCCAAACTGGCTAGTGGAAAT